AATGTATCAACCCCCCAACTCCAGTGAACATAATGAGCGCCATAAAAGAATTCTTGTTCATGAGCATTATAAATTATGGGTGTGTATTTGTCTGTGGCAATATGTATGTGTGCTGTTTTCATCTCCAGGTGTCATATGTCAAAACAAGACAAAATAGACCTAAACCAAACATCTACGGTCATAACTTTGAACGATTGTTAAACAAACAGTTGTAAATTAAAGACCACCTGTAGTTGTGTACTTTATACTCTATCTCAATTCAAATACAGCATTTATGTATTATTTTTGTCTATTTCATTTAATTTTATCCCTTTATTTTTTTATGAACTTAAGGTAGTATATAGATTTAAAGTTACCAACTCTTTTCCCCCCACAAAAATCCTGTGAGGTAGATTGGGCTGAGAAAGAGCAACAAAACCAAAATCAATCCACTGATTTTCACATCTAAGGAAGGGCTAGAACTCAGTTTCCCAATTTCTAGACCAGCATTTAACCACTATTGTACACCACACTGTCTGTTGAAATCACTGTCTCAGTGAGTTAGAGTATGAAGTACAGAACTACAGGTGGTCTTTAATTTACGACTGTTTGTTTAACAATCGTTCAAAGTTATGACCATCTTGGGAAAAGTGATTTATGACCTGTGCTCATACTTACATGCATCATACAACTGAAAATTTGGTCCCAATTGTGGTCATAAGTTGAGGACTACCTATATTTTCCATAGCGATTCAAGCCTATTCAATTTTAAGGGTAAATGCCAAACAAAATTCTTCCAGTGTTGCTAAGAATCTTTTAAAGTGTCACTTTATATCCTTTGCATTGCATTCTGGCAAAGGAGGGAACAGATTGCACTTCAAGTAATTTCATTTCATCCAGGTAAAACCTAAAGGTTTGGAGGATTGTTATTGCTATGTATTTCATTGGAATGATTAAAAAAAAAAGTTTTGATTCCAGCCTTCAGTTTTTCCCCTGGTGCAGTGTAAAGAAGTGGCAAGCTATTAAACAGCAGGAGCATCCAGTTTCTGAGCAGCTGCTTTGTAGACATAGTGTTTGTCTCTCTAGAAGGAATTTGTTGTGCACTAGCATAGCCTTTTGCATTTCAGAAGAAGAAGCAAACTGGCAACTTTCTTTAATTAGATGAGGTGTCTGAAGCCCGGTTGGAAGTAAATCTGACCAAGTGAATCCAACCAAGCATGCTTACAAACCAACATTACGAATTACATTACCATGTCTCCTGGTAACCAGCCAATGGCCCCTTTTCAGTTGCCCTTCCCTTGCTCAGGATGGATAGTTATCACAACCTGTTGGACTTTTGTATTGCTCAGCATTGGAGATACCTTAGGTCAGTCAACATTGCTGGCTGTGGAATTCTGGGAGTTGAAGTCCACATGCCTTAAAATGGTCAAGGTTGAGAAACACTGCCTTAGGTTATCTGGGCATCTTTGTTTTTCAGACAAATTCTGAGTATATTTTGTAGTGGCATGTTTAGTGTTTCTTTTTTCTTTGTTTAACCTGGAAATTTATTTACGTTTATTGGTCACTGAGCTCCAATGGACTCTGGAGTGGCCCCAATTATCCAGTGGGATGTAGAATTATGTCATCAATAATTTATGAACTAATAATTTACCAATAAGATTAGCTATGGATGATTGTAATGAATTGTGGCTTCCATTCCTTGAAATGTTTATTGTATTACTTTTATGTATGTATAAATTATAAATTATTATAATTTTGTGTATTTTTTTTTCTGATGGAGGCACTCAGCAGTTTGGGATTAGGGTTTATCAGTATGTGGATGATACTCAGTTGCATCTTTTCATCCTTAGCCAGTCAGTTCCTGAATTGTCACCTCCTGCTTGAGGAGCAGGTGGCAATATTGTGCCTCTTCCTGCACGAAGAGAACTAAGAGATTTTCCTCACAGTCATTCATGGCTCAATCACCTTGCAAGTGGTCTTTTGAAATGAGATTTTCTTGATGTTACCTTCAAAAACCACATCTTGTTCGAAGAACTGTGTCCATAGACAACTCTGTTGCATGAACTGTGTTGGGTACAGCAAATGTTGAGACACAACTTAAGAGGTTGATTATTAACTTTTATGCCCTAGCCTAGGACCTAACTACGTGAGAGACTATCTTTCTCTTGTAGTATCTACTCACCCAGTACAACCTTTGGGTCCTGTTATTAAGTCAAAATCTTGTTCTAGGTCCAGGCAATTAAACAATGCCATTTAGAAGGACCAGGAACCAGTCCTGCCTTGAGGAGTTTTTGTTTGGCTGCTTTGATCTGCTTAAAGTGAATTCTGAAAATCTGAGTTTCCTTTTAGGCCTTGGGTTGGGAATGTTGAGGATGATTTTTTTTTTCATTTGTTCCCTTATGTGTGAGTTTATATCTCTATAACATAGATTTTAAAATATTTTTCAGTTGTAAAGTCATTATTTTTGTTTGGGAATAATTAATTAATTATTTCATTTTTCAAAATTATTATTCCAATAATTAACTATTGGAAACAGAACGCAGAAACTTTCTATATCTTCATAAATAAAAATAAAGCGGATTGCAGTACCTTTCTGATTCAAACAATGCAATAATAAAATACATGTATTATATCACTTGAAATTATTAAAATTATTAAAATCTTATGAGATAGTAAATGAAGGTTAGAACAAAATTGAGGGATGAAAGTATTAGTAGAACGTAAAAATCTTAGCTGTTTATTGGAAACTTAAAAGCTGATTCCATGCCTCTTGGAAAAGGGAACTTCCATGATTTTAGAGACACTTTTTTTTTTTTTTTTTAAGGTGCTTTGCATCCAATAGTTGCACTCTTGGCAAATAGTAGAATGCTTGCAGAACTGTCTTGATATTCTACTGAGGGAAGGGCTCATTTTGGAAGGATGCAGTCTTCTGCTGTCCTGGCATCAGTTCATTTTAGGGCTTTGAAGATAAAAGCCAACACTTTGAACTATATCGAGAAATGAACTGGAAGTGAATCAAATCCTAATAAATAAAATGGGCCAAATGAATTTCTGATGGTTTTTCTAACTCCCCTCTCCCTTTGCCTCGAATTAATAATAACCCATATGTTAGTGGTTACTTCTGTATTATCTAGGAAGGACCACAACATTTACTGGAATGTCCTGATGTCTTTATAAACATCTCCAAAGGTTTTTTTTGGCAATAGTATAGTAAAAAAAAAATGTGATTTACTACTGTTTACTTCTGAACTGTTCTCCCTCCATTTCCCAGTGTAGCCTACAATCCTCAGCTAATCAGCCAAAAGCCACAGGTTCTCTCCAAAATTCATATATTGCTCTTTATTGAGTTTGATATCCCAGTTTTGGAACTGCCTTCTAAGCACAAATGGAGATATGTAAAAATGTGCTCAAGGACATATCTCATCAGTTTATGCTTAGGAGTACGTGTCTGCATGTTCTTTGAATATAAGAACATAACAATTTGAATTCTATGCATCCCACAGCATTTATTTAAAAACTCCTAATATGCTACGTTAAGTCATTTCTGATCCATCAGTGTAGAAATTGCCAGTAATGATGGCTGTAAATATCCTAGTGCCCAATTATCTCCAGATTTTTTTTTTTTTAAAACAAGTAAAAATTAGGTTGGGCAGCAGCCAGTGCAGTCGTGCAAACTTTTCTCAAAAAGTTACAACACTGCATTCAATGTGCTTAATCAAATATAAAAAAACTGAACTTTAATAGCTTCATATTCATTTGTTTTTCCCTTAGATAATTGCATGTCAGTAATAGAATTTAAGATGTTTTTCTGTCCCCAAAGTATTTCAAATAGTGATTAAGATCTACTCACAGATAAAATAAATGCTGAATTTTCTGTCAAATGCTGACCTATTTTTTATTTTCACTGAGCAATAACCTCTCAAACCTGCATTACATCAAATTCATTTTCAAAAGTAGTAAATAAAATCACTCCCGAAAGCAGGTTAGCATGCAAACTAACTCCACTGCATATAAATGTAGATAAATAATTTTGGAAGCTTCAGTGTTGGTAACTTGCTATTTTCTTTAATGTGTTTTCTTTAAAAGATTCCAAATACTGAGCCCTCTGGTGGTTTGTAAGTTATGTATCTGCCTGTCAGACTTTTTTTTTTCCTTCTTCTTCTTCTTCTTCTTCTAGTATTGTGCTTATTAAGAGAATAGCCATGATGGTAGTATGACTATCTCTGCTGGGAAATTAGTAGATCCCTCGTGCAGTTGGTTAGACTAGATGAACCAAGTGTTTGTTCCAGCAGGCACACTTATGAGTGTGTTAGATTCTCATAATAATTGGACCATAACAATGCCCAGCAAAAAAAAAAAAAAAAAAAGAAAGAAAGATATAAATTGAGTAACTGAAATGTTATCCAAAAAGGATAATCCAAAAAAGAAAAAGTCCTATATTAAAAATGAATCCACACAAAGGAAGAAGATGGGGCAGAACAATATCTATAGGTACACCTTCCAGCTTCTTTACTGGAGATTGTCAACTCCCATTGAAACCAGTTCTTGCTATTATCCCACTTCCGACAAGAACACACAAATGCAAAATTGATAGTCAGGGGCCACATTCTGAAAAAGGTCCAGACAAAAACTTCAGTGTTAATTTTAATAATGACTCTTGATTAAAATGACTTTTCCATAAAAGTATTATGGGTAAAAAAAAAATTACCTGTAAAATATTTTTGCTTTTGTTAATTAGTTGATTTTTCCGCATAAAGAGGCACAAAATGTAGACATAAATTGCTTTTTGCACATTCCAAAAAGTACTCAGACACATTTACATAAATGCCTGACTGCAATCACCTGCTTGGCTCTGCAAACGGCTATAACTGCAAAAAAGCTATTTCTAAAACGGCGATGCTCATGGGAATAAGTGGGTGCACCTTATTATGAAAACAGGAATCAATCCCCATTGTCTTCTGAATGAATTGACTTGTATCTCCTTATTTATCTGTTGTTGGTCCTTCTTTTTCTCTTGTTAGGTTCCTACATGATAGTCGACTCTTCACACCACAGCCATGGAGAAAAAGCTCGACTTCAACTTCCTACCATGAAAGAGAACGATACCCACTGTGTTGATTTCAGCTACCTTTTGTATAGTAAGAAAGGGACAAGCCCTGGGACTCTGAACATCTTGGTTAGGGTGAACAAAGGTCCTCTGGCAAACCCCATTTGGAACGTGACTGGCTCCACTGGCAAAGACTGGCTACGGGCAGAACTGGCTGTCAGCACCTTCTGGCCAAATGAATACCAGGTAAGCCAATAACAAAACAAGACAAAGAACGATGAAAAGTGTTTGTATCTACTATCCGCAGGTAAATTTCTTCACTTCCTGGCCATGCATCCTTAAGATGCCATTAGAAAAGGAGGGTCATACTACAATGCAAAAGTAATGAGAGACTGTCAATGAATGTTCCAGGTGTGTTATATCTTTCATTTCCCCCTCAGCATCTCTGAAAATGGACCGGAAAGAACAAAAGTATTTCCAAAGATTTAGGATGCGGCATTGATAAAAAATATCCACTCATCAGTGTCTTAAATGGGTGGAAATAGATTGTGGATAGGGAACAATAGAGTAGACGATAGGAATATGTCACGTGGAATTTCTGATCAGCAAGAGAGATATTTTGCTAATAGGTTTTTGGAAAGCATTCATCCACCAGAGCCTTCTCCTCTATATTTCCTGCTGTTGTGGCTGTTTGTTTATGCACACAACAAAGCAAATGCTAAGGGAAAATGAAATCTTTCCCATTTCTCTCCATCAAATGAAATGTAGGTCAGATGCATTTGTTTACACCAGCTTTTCATTACTGTAAGATGAACCGGCTCTAAGTGCCACCTAATGGAGTGCCTTTGGTAAGCCATATAATCTTGTACAGTTTCATGGCGAGAGAAAAGCTCCATCACCCTGAACTGTTTTCTTGCTTTGTGAACAGGGTGTGCTTTCTTTCTTTCTTTTTCCTTTCTCTCTCTCTCTCTCTCTCTCTCTCTCTCTCTCTCTCTCTCTCTCTCTCTCTCTCTCTCTCTCTCTCTCTTTTCTTTTTGGTTGTTCTTTTGTAAGCACTTCCTTTCAACACATGAGGTCAACACAGCTGCTTAAAAGTACCAATTCCCTTCCCCCTGTGCAAAGCTGGTTTTAATGCTGTGTTTCACTACAGAATATAGCGTGAATGTCTCCTTTGTTTAGCTGCAATTCTCTGACAATTCTTCAGTTGACTAACTCCGCTGGTTGCATGTTAGCCTATTGAGAGTTTAGCAAACACTTGCATAATGTCACATGTGTTTAAGACAGGATTGACAGCTATGAATTTGCTTTTAAGGGCTTCACTTGAAAAGTAAAACAAAGGCATATTTACACCCAGAATAAATTTGATATTACAGGAAAGTAGAGCCTACCATAAATAAAGCAGACAAGCAGGCTTTTCTATGTATACATACATATACATATACATTATTTAGAACAGTTTGTAAGTAAGTAGTAAGTCAGAGCGACAGCTTCGCTATTCAGCTCCTTTAATGCTACTTTATATATGTAGGAAGTGAGAAAGCAAATATCACCCAGGTTACAATATCATTTTCCTCTCCTTCTTATCATCAAATTATTAACTTGTATAGTGAAATGTTAACTTACCACTGATGGTTGTCTGCTAGAAAAAAAATAAAGGCTTTTTTTTTCCCCTGAAAAACAAGAGCCATCAAATTGACACATATGTGAATTTCTTGTTATCATCTGTCAGAGTTTGCTTTTATCAACTTCACCAAATAGAAAAGGATCCTGGTGGGAAATAATGAAATAAGTTAGCTAGAAATGTAGGGTCCTACATGAATCTAGTGGAGTTTGGAATGCCTCTCTTGGCAAAAAGTTTGATTGGAAAATGGCAACCTGTGTTTTATAGAGGAAAGAACAATTTAATCTTTGTTGTTAACAGAATGGATTCTGGGTGGTCTGATAATATTAAGTATTTTGTTCAAAGGAGAAAATGTTTCATGTGACGAGAGTCATACCAGCTTCTTTTCGATGCAGAGCTAATCTATTTATTAATACTTGGGGCCATGCTAAGATGGTTTGTAGTGGCGGTGTGAAGCACTACAGGTGGAATGACTCTTGCATGGCAATTCAATATATAGGGACTTAGTTTGCATGATTTTCCTTCCCTCTTCATTTAGTTGAGATGAAAAAATGGACTCGCCCTGTTCTTCCCTTACACTGTTTTATTGCTGTCAATGGCCAAACTGTGTCTTTTATTCTCTCTTGAAGTCAGAATGAGTTCAAGTCTGTTGAACTCAGATGTCTTTGCATTGCTTAAATCTGACACCGTAAACTCTGAACAGCTAAGTATGAGGAAAAAAAAAATTAATTGTGCGTGTGAAGCACACTTCTGAAAGGACTACCTGCAAATGATCATTCTTCCCTGATGGTTGTTGGAATATGTGTTATTATGTTGTAATCAAGTTGGAATGAGTGGTTAGTGTTTAAAAATCATTAAAAATACTTTATTAATGTTGTTCTTAGTGCTTGTCCTGCTTAGTTTCAGGGCCAACTTATTTTGCATTGCACGTGCCTAATTCTTACAAAACTTACCAATGCAGGTTGCAACTTGGAGTTTTGTTTCTTAGCCAGCTTGTTACAGAACTAGACAATGATTTAACACTGAGAGAAAATGACTAGCCGAAGATCACCCAATTGGTTTACTCTGCCACGGGAAGCCTGAGTTTCCCCATTCCTTGTCCAGTATTTTAACCATGGCACCTTGCTGGCTGTCTAGAACAATGCTTTAATAGAATAGATTAATTAATGCTTTATGAGTGTTTTGCATTGTAATGTGTGCCATGAGGTTAGCATAGGAGATTTGCAGATCAGTATAGTTTTATAGCAATAGCAGTATCACTTAGACTTTTATACCGCTCCATAGTGCTTTACAGCCCTCTCTAAGCAGTTTACGGAGTCAGCATATTACCCCCAACAATCTGGGTCCTCATTTTATCAATCTCAGAAAGATGGAAGGCTGAGTCAAACTTGAGCCAGTCGGGATTAAACTCCTGGCAGTGAGCTGAATTAGCCTGCAACACTGAATTCTAACCATTGTGCCAACATGGCTCCTTTATTTCTGCAACCGTCTTTTTATTGATGTACAATTTTGCATGGCGTTATTGATTATGTTATGATATCATTTTATCTATTTAGTTATTGTAATATGTGTTAATTTTAATTGTATATCACTCTGACCTGTGAGAAATAGGGCAACATGAAAATATGATAAAATAAGTAAATAAATTTACATTGGAGAGTGATCTTATTTTCTGTAACAAAACAGCCACAAATAGAACTGCTTTTGAGATGGCAAGTTGTAGCTGCTGTTGGTCTTGCCTCTGTTAAAAAGATGGTAGAAATGTTCTTTTGAAACAGCTTTGTCATATGACATAATAACCACTTCAGTGGAAAAGCAGGCATCTAGTGAATTTCCATTTGAAGGGAGGGGTTCCAGAAGAGATACTCTGTATTGGCCAAGCGCCTTGTTGGTACAAAGCTCATTGCTTCTCTGCTTTAAAAAGTGCATTACATTGTCTTGTCAAAGCAAATGATCTCCCTCTTGTTCTGCTAATAATTCTGCTCTGGTAATAAATAATACAGAAGAATTCCAGTTCAGGAAATTTTACACATGGCATCCTTAGATATACAATATTGCAACAAATTGGATTGGGTAGTAGGAAATAAGAGATGAATAAGGCCGATCTAGTCAGCCAGGACAATTTCCAGATGTAGATGGATGGGAACATGAGTTAGTAATATCAAGTATACACATTAAAATGAGAAAATTAAAGAGGATATGTGTACCAGCAAGATATGAACCGGAGAATGTATGATCGCAATATAGCATACAGAATTAAGTCAGCTCACTTAAGTGATACAAAAAAAGAATCTGAGATGAAATTGGAAACATCATGAAGGCTAAACAGAAAAGATATCTCTCCTAAATTTCAGAATTGAAAGATCAAAGTGTTTTCAGAACAAGCTATTATGATAGCCAGGGAAAGATGAAATCTTTGGGCAACAAGGACATATGAGAATTGATCAGGGACTGTGTGTGTGAAAAACAAGGAAAAATTTTTACCCACTTCCAAGTTATCAGTACAAATTAAAAATGGGAAAAAAACCTGACAGATTTAGCATTCTGATCTAAATAGCCAAGTGGATAAGAGTATTAAAATGGGAGAATGTGGCCGACTGTGGATAAGATTATAGTTGTTGGTGATAAATGCTTTGGGTTAGAAAAGACTCCCCCCTCCAAATCTCTCTATATAGATAAATACATACATGCATATGCTTCATGCTGTTCCTTGCCCTCTGAAAGAAAAACTGCCAGCAATTCACAGTTCTTTAGCTATAACTTTTCTGTGAATAAGGACAAGTCAGTCTTCCTATGATACATCCAAACTACTTGAGATCAGTTCATACTTGTGGTGGCAGACAAAAGCTTGTTTTAAGCTTCTTCAAATCACCACAAGTACCATCAGGCAATACATAACTGCAACCTGCTGTCTGGCTTTACATAGTCTTCCTGGAAATAAGCATTATTTGGGAACACAGAAATAGATTCAAAACAGGTATTTGTGTCATCTGGACTCCTAAGAATTCCAAAATCTCCACAATCCCTACTTGGATTTATAGTTTTTCTTCTTTGGAAAAGCTGATAATGCCAGGTGATAAATAGTATTCTCAAAAGCAATTTGTGATAATGCCTTTTTGTTTGGAGTGTGGTTGTGGGAGGCTTAGTTGTCCATGAATCATAGCAGTTCTTTAGCTCTGAGTCAGCTTTCTGACCCTTTAGAAAACACAGACTGTACTGAAAAACACATAGAATGTCTGGAGTGCTGCTCTGCTTTTGAATTTTGTTTATAGTAAAGGTACGGTTCTGTAACAAGGAGACTTCAGGGAGGGATTAGGTTTCCCTTCCTTTGCATGAAGAACTTCCAGACCAGTTCAGGGCTGCCTGCGGGGAGCGCGTCAGTGGCCCTAGGGGGCCACTGGCAACTGCTCCAGCCAAAGAAGCAGGTGGCTGGGAGGCCACCACAGTGCCAAACTCCTGCGCCTGTCAGCTGGCGACCCCCAGACCTGTGCCTGTCAGCTGGAACGTCAGGCAACGCTTTGGCTGATGCGGAGGGCGAAGGGGAGGTCATCAGCTGGCGGCCTCTGGACCTGTGCCCATCAGCTGGGAGGTCTGCTGACGGAACTGGCTGGCGTGGAGGGCGATG